TCAGAAATATACCGATGCTGTGACAGGAACAGACCACCACTGGTGGGAATCGCCTCGACGCCAAGAAAAAAATTGAGGTGGCCCAAATCCTTAATAGAAAACCGATCCCCCATGACACGAACCAGGGAATGAATGGCAGTAGAGTCACTGCCAGTGATGATAATATCATCTACGTACACCAGAAAATAGATCCAGGTAGAGGCTTTGTGATAAATAAAAAGTGAAGTATCCGATCGGGAGTGTGTAAAGCCCTGCGACAAGATGAAGTCCTTAAGCTCTTGAAACCAAGCTCGAGGAGCTTGTTTAAGGCCATAAATGGATTTCCGGAGCCTACATACATGATCAGGAAAATTAGGATCCACAAACCCAGCCGGTTGTTTCATGAATAATTGTTTTTCAAGATGACCATGCAAAAATGCATTATTGACATCCAACTGTCGAATGGCCCAATTCCGACTAACAGCGATGGATAAAACAGTGCGAATAGTAGTGGGTTTAATGACAGGACTAAAGGTATTAAAATAATCAGAACCTGGGCGTTGATGAAAGCCTTTAGCCACAAGGCGAGCTTTATGACGATCAATGGTACCATTTTTAGTCCGTTTTAAACGAAATACCCACTTGCAACCAATCAAATGCTGTGTAGGGGCAGGTGGAACCAGTTCCCACGTACCTTGCCGAACTAGAGCACTAAATTCATCAGACATGGCCTGTCGCCAACTGGGATCTTTAAGGGCTTGAGTCACACATGTGGGTTCACTAGCCACAATGGGAGAGGTGGTGAAGGCTTGATGTAACACTTTAGGTTTAAAGATATTGTTGAGGGAGTGAGTGGTCATGGGATGGGTCCGGATAGGATTGTTACGGATAGGAAGATCGGGCCTTGGTGGAGGAGATGGTGGCATGGCATGGGTTATGGAAGATGGAGAGGCGGGATGGGATGAAGTGGCAGGAGAGGTTGCCGAAGGATGGTGAGCTGGGGATGAGGAGTTGGAGGGCCCATGTGCTAAAGTGGGAGAAGATGTGGGGCATGTAGGGTGAAGGACGGACGGTTGAAGGGGAGGAAGAGCATTCGGGACAGCAGGTGCAGAGGGAGTAGAGGGGGCGGTATGGACATTGGGCAACGGAGAGGACACTACCTGGACCAGCTGCTCATGAGGTGCACCGGGGAGAGAGAACAATGGCATGTCACGGGATGGATCCAAAAGGGCAGAAACCGGAGGGGAGGATAGGGCAGATTTATTGTGAAAGGGAAAATAAGTTTCATGAAATACCACATGCCGAGAATGAAAAATTTTATTGGAGACCAAATCAAGACATTTGTACCCAAGGGTGGTGGTGGAGTACCCCAAAAACAAACATGGACGAGATCGAAATTGAAGTTTGTGAGAATTATATGGCCGAAGCCAAGGATAACACAAACACCCGAATACCCGAAGTTTAAGATAGTTTGGACGAATTTTAAACAATTTTTCAAAGGGTGAACTTTTAGACAAAGAAGAAGATGGGAGGCGGTTGATGAGATAAACCGAGGTTTGGAAGGCATGGGACCAGAACTTAATAGGGAGTGAGCTGGAATGGAGAAGTGTGAGACCAATCTCAACTATGTGTCGGTTCCGACGCTCACTGATACCATTAAGTTCTGGTGTATATGGAGGAGTTATAAAATGAGAAATACCGTGTTGAGCTAAAAAGGAACGAAGAGCAATATATTCGCCCCCGCCATCAGAATGAAAATTTTTAATTTTTCGTCCAAACTGAGTTTCAACTAGGGATTTAAATTTGGGAAATATTTGTGAAACATCAGATTTGTGTTTAAGGGGATAGATCCAAGTATAACGGCTAAAAAAATCAATAAAGAGAACAAAATAATTAAAACCATCAACAGAAGAAAGTGGGGCAGGCCCCCAGACGTCAGAAAATATGTGGTCAAGTGGAACATGACTGATGATGGAACCATTTGAAAAAGGAAGTTTATGACTCTTAGAGCATTCACACGAATCACATAAAGAAAAAGTCATTTTATTGGATAATGGTAAATGAAAAACATTGATAATTTGTTTTAGGGTCTTCGTTGAAGGATGACCTAAGCGTGAATGCCAATTCGCCATAGTTGTTCTCACTCCCACTAGTGCTTGTGGTCTCGGATTAATTTTTCCGGGAATTTGGTAGATCCCATGAATGTTGGGTCCTTTTAGTAGTGTCTCCCCCGTGCATGTGTCCTTCACCAAAAAGAAATTAGAATGAAATTCCATAGAAACATTGGCAATTTTGCATAATTGAGAAACGGAAATTAAGTTTCGTGAAGCAGAGGGAACACAAAGAACATTGCGTAAAGGTAAAGAAGAAGTGGGAGTGGAGAGCGTGGAGTGACCCACATGGGTGATTTTCAAACCTGTACCATCGCCAATTTGCAATTCATCAGGTCCATTGTATTCAGAATGAAGTGCTAAGTTGGTCAAGTCAGTAGTAACATGATTGTTGGCCCCAGAATCCAAGAGACAATCATCAGAGAAGGCGACCGAGGAAGAAGCAATATTGGCCATTGGACTGACGGCTTGCACACGATAATTTGGACAATTTTTGGCAAAGTGACCAGTGTGGCCACAGAGCTGACATGCAAAATTACCAGGTCTGTTATTGAATCTGGGTCCAAAACCACGCTTCCGATTCCCAGAGTTCCGGTTGGTGGAGTTTTGGACACCCCTGTTGCCACGGTTCGGTGGCTGCAAAAAAACAGAGTTCCTATTTTGTGAGGCGCCGGTACCCATAAAAGAGGAAGAATGCATACCAGAGCGAGGTGCCATCGGGGCAGCAGCAAAGTGAGCAGTTGCTGGAGTTAAATCAACTCGATTGTCTTCCCTATGAAGGCTCTCTTCATGAGCAACAAGTCGGTCATGCAAATCATCAAAGGAAAGAGATGAATCGCGGGCTCGGAGAGACGCAGCAATTTCTCTAAATTCTGGTCCCAACCCGTTGAGGATGTATACCGTGAGATCATCGTCGGTTAATGGTCGATCCACGATCCCAAGTTCATCGGCAACTGTTTTCAGGTCTCGTAGATATTCCGAGACGGAGCGCCCAGCACGCTTCATGTTTTGAAGTCGCTCCTTCAGTGTGATTACCCGAGTGCGGGAACGATTGGCATAGAGTTTGGCCAAGGTTTCCCACGCCTGTTGGGCTGTAGCAGCAGCAGCAATATATGGGGTAATATTCTCCGATACGGAGGTGATGAGGGCATGGCGTAGAAGTTGATCTTGGCGTGCCCATAAGCTGTATTCAGGTGCTGTTGCAACTGGACAGGGATGTCTGCCATCAAGATAGCCATCAAGTTCATAACCTGCAAGCAAAGAGGTAAATTGAGCTTTCCAAGATAAATAATTTGTGGGAGTTAGTTTCATCGGAAACGCGGCTGAGTTGAAGGAAAGTGGGCCGTTGGTTAGGCCTGAGTTGAGGACAGTGACAGCAGCAGTTGTGGAGGTTTTTGAGGCAGTAGAGTTTGGGGAATTATTAGGAGTGGCCATGATCGAGCTCGTGAGAGGGATGATGGCTCTGATACCACTATTAGGATGCAAGGCTCTTGATTCTGAATGTCTTATGTTATTCATACAACTTGCACAATATATACAAGTCTCTGCAATTAG